GGGGGGGGGCCTGGGGAGGGCTGCCACAGACATACAACTTAACCAGGTTTTTGTGGGGTTTTCTTTTTTTGAGGTTTTAGGCCTGGAACTCAAGGTGATGCCCGTGCTAGGCAAGTACTCTATGAGCTACCCCTAACTGGTTTTCATATGACTGTTGGTTTTATTGGTGTTAGTCACTTTTTTAAATGTAGTATTGTCTTAAACTAAATGACCTCAAAGAGAAATTTTAAAAGGGTTTTGAAAGCCTGAAGTGCTTTGGAAAGGCAGCACCTGTACACTCTCTAGTAGGCACTTTACAAGTAAAGCGTTCAGACTTGCCTTACGAACAAAACTATCTCAGACTTTGTATACTTAGAAATCGGGCTCTGTAGCTGCATTATATTAGTTACTGTTCTCATTTCTATGACAAAATACCAAAGCAACATAAGGAAAGAAAGTTTCCTTTTGGCTCTCAGTTTGGCGGTGCAGCCCATGGTGGGGGGAGAGCACAGTGGCAGGAGATGCAGCAGCTGTCACACCGTCGGTCAGGGAGCAGCTGCGTGAGCCCTGTGCTCAGCTCACCTTTATCCCTTCCAGGACCAACCGCAGCCCATGCGGTGGTGCCTCTCATATTTAGGGTGGGTCTTTCCACATCAATTTAACCCCATCTAGAAGCTTCCATGTCCCCCAGACATGCCCAGAGATTTGTCCCCTAGGTGATTCTAGACCTGTCAAGATGACAATATTAACCCTCACAAGTATTAAGAAAATAGGACTAGGGTACAGAGACCACATGTTTCCAGTCACCAAGACGCTCACCCCTCAGAGGCCCCAGCATGCCTCCCAGGAGACCAGAGGATCCCCTACTGACTGTTACAGCCCAGTTGCTCTGTGGGGCAGATCCCTGCTGCTGTGGACAGTGAGATCCCTCTTCAGGCCAGGGGGCCTCCCTGACCACGAGGGGCAGGTTCAGAGTACTGACCACTTAGAGAGAACCAGGCCTGCGACTCCCTGAAGCCCTGCCCAGCACTGGGTTGGCACCTCACACCCTGCTTTCTGGGAACTTGCGAGGCTTCCCCTCACCACCAGCATTTGTCCCTTATGATGGTTTTTCCTTTTTTTTTTTTTTTTTTTTGGTCTTTTTGAGACAGGGTTTCCCTGTAGCCCCAGCTGTCCTGGAACTCACTATGTAGACCAGGCTGCCTCTGCCTCTGGAGTGCTGGGATTAAAGGCGTTTGCCACCACCCCAGCTGTCCCTTGTGATTTTAATCCTCCTCTCTTGCTCTTCTGGTACATTCCTCTATCAAGTTCTCTCCCCTCCCATCTCCTTCCCCCCTACCCCCGCCTCTTCAGCCCTCCCTCCCCCTCCCTTCCCTCCTACCATCCCCTCCTCTGCCCTCGCCCATCCTCCCTTTCTTTCCTGGTCCTTGGGTCCCTTCTGTCTTCTCATCCTCCCCTCCCCTCTCTACAAGACCCTGCTGCCCTCCTACAATCCACCTCTCTCTTTCCCTTCAACTTACACCTGCAGATGCATGCCAGAAGTCTCCTGTTTTAAGTCCCCTGAACTCTTCGTCTCTGACCCACCTCCATCTCTTGCTTTCTCCTGTCTACTTCCCAGGTCTCCTGCTCCCTCCCCAGCTTTCTAGAATCTTCCTCCTCTGCTCTGTGGGACATCCAGACCACACACTCCCAGGACCCCCATCCCTCACTTAGCCTGACACAAATTTCCGGGCCTTCTTTCTCTCCTTACCTCCCAGGTACCTGACCCCCAAGAGTTCTTTCTGGTTCCTTCTTTTCTGTCATTCCAAAAGGCTTTGCCTGGCTGTCTCCGTCCGCACCACACTCCTCTCCCTGAGCTTACAGTTGAATCCCCTCTCATCTTCACTCTGGTGTTCTTCCCTGACGGCCCCCCTGCCCCTTCCCCTTGGGCCTGCTACCCCGATAGTCCCTAGCCTCCTCCAGAGTCCGAGCACAGTCTCCCTGAGCAGCTCCCATGCCTGTTCGGAGGCCTCACCTCCTAATTCATGCCTAGCCCCATGCCACATGGTCTGCTGCCACATCTCTCGCAGCCCAGACTGTCTGACATTCCAAGGAGGTGCCCTGCTCTTCCACCTCCCAAATATATGCCCCCCCTTCCCAACCCTCCCCATTCAGCCTTAAAGTTTGTTATCAACACTGTGAATAGTTAGGATTGGTCTCTTCAAGCTTCCATGACATCCTGTACCCTCCCAAAGACAGCAACTTCCTCTCCATACTCTCTCTCT